GAACCCCCCCCGCGGTTCCCCCCCCCCCCCCGCAAGCATGAAGAATAGAGAGCATCACTGCCCCAGACAGAGTGTTCCATTTGTACCTTGTGGCTAATAGCCACTGATGGACCTCTGCTCCGTATGTTCATCCAGTCCCCTCTTGAGGCTGTCTATGCCTGTAGCCGCCGCCACTTCCTGTGGCAGTGAATTCCACGTGTTAATTACTCTTTGGGCGAAGAAGGACTTCCTTTTATCTGTTCTAAGCCCACTGCTAATTAATTTCTTTGAGTGCCCACGAGTTCTTGCATTGTGAGAAAGGGAGAAGAGTACTTCCTTTCTCTGCCTTCTCTATCCATGCATAATTTTGTAAACCTCTAGCATGTCACCCCTCAGTCGTCGTGTCTCCAAGCGAAAGAGCCCTAACCTCTTTCACCTTCTTCATGGGGAAAGTGTTCCATCCCCTTAATCGTTTCAGTTCCCCTTTCCTGTACCTTTCCCAATGCTTTAATATCTTTTTTGAGGCGTGGTGACCAGAACTGTACACATTATTCCAAATGAGGCCGCACCATTGATTCATACTGGGGCATTATGATACTGGTTGATTTGTTTTTAATTCCCTTCCTAATAGTCTCCAGCATAACATTTGCCTTTTTTTATTGCAGTCATACACTGAGCCAACATCTTCAGTAAGTTATCGTCCACGACTCCCAAGATCTCTCTCCTGGTCAGTTACTGCCAGTTCAGACCAGTGCTCCCTCTAAGCTGAGCTAGTGTGAGCTAGCTCACAGTTTTTTAGCCTCCGGCTCACACATTTTTGTCTTAGCTCGGGAAGGATGGCTCCAGAGCAGACTAATTTATGCAGCAGCCAAATCGCTCGCTCACAGCTTTAGTGCTGGTGGCTCACAAAGGAGAATTTTTGCTCACAAGACTCCACAGCTTAGAGCATTGGTTCAGACCCCACCAATGTATGTTTATAGTTAGGATTTTTGGTTCCAATGTGCACTACTTTGCACACGGTGAGGCCAATGGAGGAAGCAACAATTGATGCTCTGTAACTGGGCTGGGCGACGTGAACCTCAGACCCACCAGGGAACGAATAAAGGAGATTACTACAGAGCTTCGAAGAGTGCACATCCTCCGTGCCTTGGGCCTGGACCCAGACCATTGCCCAGCCTGCCCTGGCCACCTGTCCCCCAGGTGTGCCGTGAGGCTCCAGACCCTGCAACAAATATTAATAATCTCAGGTGGGTAGCTGTGTCGGTCTGTGGTAGAAGAGCAAGATTGGAGTCCAATACCACCCTTAGAGACCAACAAGATTTCCAGAGTTTAGGCTTTTGAGCATCAAGGCTTCCTTCATCGGACACAGGACCAGTGTTCCCTCTAAGCTGAGTTAGTGTGAGCTGGCTCACAGTTTTTTAGCCTCCGGCTCACACATTTTTGCCTTAGCTCGGGAAGGATGCCCCCAGAGCAAACTAAATTTATGCAGCAGCCAAATCGCTCGCTCACAACTTTTAATGCCAGTCGCTCACAAAGTAGAATTTTTGGTCACAGGACTCCACAGCTTAGAGGGGGCATTGCACAAGACACATCTTTTATTTATTTATTTATTTATTTATTTTGCATCCTGCCCTCCCCGCCTGGGCAGGCTCACGGTGGCTTGCATTTAAATAAGTAAAACCACATTGTATAAAATCATAAGTGCCAGTAGCATAGATGTCAAAGTACTAAAAAAAAAATGGTGGCAGTGTCTATTGTCAATAATAATTATCTACAACAAGGTCCCTGACATAGGGGAATGGATAAAGAAATTACTTTTTATGGTTGAAATGGATAAAATGACAAGAAAACTTAACAATTTGGAGGCAGAAGAATTTTTTGCAGACTGGAAAGACTTTAAAGAATATTTAGAGAAATATTGGGATGCAAAGAACAATTTGCTTTGCTTTGATAACTACTGAAAACTAAAGTTTGTAGAAAAAAGGATAAATATGTAAGAAATATAATTGAAGGATAAGTTACCTATAGATGTGGAAAACAACAAAAGGAGGTTTGAAGAGAACTTAAGATGTGGGCTGGAGGTTGGAGCACTGTGGGAAGCCGGAAAGGGGAGGGGGGAAAGGGAGAAAGGATGTATAACAATATAAGTTTTGATATGTGTTTGACTTTTTAATATATCCTAATAAATTGTTTTTAAAATAATAATAATAATTATTATTATTATCTACATACACTCTCATTGTGGTTGGCCCTTTACAATGGTGGCCCGCCCTAAAAGGGATGACGATTTAATCATGATGCAGGTTTCCTTCCGGGGGGGGGGGGGGGGGTGAATGTGTCTCTTTTTTACCTGGATTTTTCCAAGTTCCCCAGTACTCTCCATCCTGCTTGCAACGTTGACGGTGTTTCCCCAGATGTCGTACTGAGGCTTGCGAGCACCAATCACGCCAGCGATCACGGGCCCGTAGTTTATTCCTGGGTGAACAAGAAAGTAAGAGAAGATTAAGTCAGCGTTCGGGATCCAGGAAACCAGAATGACAGCGGGGAGGAGGAGGCAGTCTCACAATGGTGGCTCCGTGCCATGGAACACGGTCATGTAAACGTCAAATTAGGGCCAGTGATCTCTTGGACATCCACCACAATGCCCCCCCCCCACTTGTACAGCACCAAGAAAAGAAGCACTACCTAATGTTTGCCTGAAAGACAACCCTAAATCTAAGATGCCTCCCCTCCCTGAAAAAAAGGTTATACACAAAAGGTTTGCTATCACCTGCTCTTGGTAGTGGGTGATTCGATCCTTAGGCAGGTAGACAGCTGGGTGGCGAACCCGCGTACTGACCGTATGGTGACTTGCCTGCCTGGTGCGAAGGTAGCGGACATTACGCGTGTTTTAGATAGGCTGGTAGATAGTGCTGGGGAGGAGCCAGTGGTCGTGGTGCATGTCGGCACCAACGATGTGGGGAAATGCAGTCGTGAGGTCCTGGAGGAGAAATTTAGGATGCTGGGCAGGAAACTTAGGTCCAGGACCTCCAAGGTAGCCTTCTCAGAAGTGCTACCTGTTCCACGCGCAGGGCCGGAGAGACAGGCAGAGATCAGGAGTCTCAATGCGTGGATGAGACGATGGTGTAGGGGGGAAGGGTTCAGGTTTGTTAGGCACTGGGATACTTTTTGGAACAAGAGGGAGCTGTACAGGCGAGACGGTCTCCACTTGTCCCGAGAAGGAACCAGGCTGCTGGCACTTAAAATCAAAAAGGTGGCAGAGCAGCTTTTAAACTGAATATTGGGGGAAAGCCGACAGGAGATGAAAAGTCTCTGGTTCGGGTTGGCTCATCTCAGAGAGATGAGGGGGTACCTGTTGCTTTTCTACAGGGAGGTGGATTGAAATTGTCCACAGAGGCCATGGCTGGTGACATGGACTGCCGGACAACGACTCGAGATAGCAAGAGGAAGGATGCAGGCTTAACTTGTAAGGGAAATTACAGCTGTTTCTATACAAATGCTAGAAGTGTCCGAGGTAAAATCGGGGAGTTGGAGTGCTTGGTGTCGGAGGGAAAAATAGACATTGTGGGTATTTCTGAAACTTGGTGGGATGAGGAAAATCAGTGGGACACAGTGATTCCCGGTTATATATTATATCGGAAGGATAGGGGGGGAAGGGTTGGAGGTGGGGTAGCTCTGTATGTCAGAGAGGGTATAAAGTCTAGAAAGATTGAGAGGCTAAGTGAATTGGATTCGCTTCTGGAAGTTCTATGGGTTGAAATAGGGGGGCCAAAAGGAAACTTAACACTGGGAGTTTGTTATCGCCCACCAGATCAAAAGATAGAGGAGGATTATAAAATGATGAATGCCTTAAAGATAGCAACTAGACAAAAACACTGTGTAATAATAGGTGATTTTAACTACCCACACATTGATTGGGTCAATATGTGTTCTAGCCGGGAAAAAGAGATTGAGTTTCTAGACACTCTAAATGACTGTGCTATGGAGCAGATGGTCACGGAACCTACCAGGGGAGAGGCGATCCTTGATTTGGTCCTAAGTAACACTCAAGACCTGGTGAGAGATGTAAAAGTGATTGCACCGCTTGGAAACAGTGATCATAATGTTGTTGAGTTCATCATTTGTACAAATAGAGAATTGGCCAAAAAGACTCACACAACCATTTTTAACTTTAAAAGGGGTAATTTCTCTGATATGAGGGGACACGTGGGGAGGAAACTGAAAGGAAAAGTAGAAAGGGTCAAAACAATTGGGGAAGCTTGGGATCTATTTAAAACTACGATCCTAGAAGCTCAAAAAATATATATTCCGCAGGTTAGGAAAGGCACAAACAGGTATAGGAAAAAGCCTGCATGGTTAACAAACAGAGTAATGGAGGCTGTAAAAAGTAAAAAGAATTCCTTTAAGCAGTGGAAAGCTAGTCACAGTGAGGCTGATAAAACGGAACACAGGCTATGGCAAATAAAATGCAAGTCTGAGGTCAGGCAGGCAAAAAGGGAATATGAGGAGCATATAGCAAAAAACGTAAAAACCAACAATAAAACTTTCTTCAAATACATTAGAAACAGGAAACCAGCCAGGGAGGCAGTGGGGCCCTTGGACGACCAAGGGGTAAAAGGAGTATTGAAGGATGATAGGGAAATGGCTGAGAAGCTAAATGCATTTTTTGCCTCCGTCTTCACTGTGGAAGATGAGAAGTGCTTGCCCACTCCAGAACCACTGATTTCAGGAGGGGTGTTGAAAGACCTGAGTCAGATTGAGGTGACGAGAGAGGAGGTCCTAAAACTGATAGACAACTTAAAAACTGAAAAATCACCAGGCCCAGATGGCATACATCCGAGAGTTCTGAAAGAACTCAAATGTGAACTTGTAGATCTCCTGACAAAGATATGTAATCTTTCCTTAAAATCTGCCTCCATTCCTGAGGATTGGAAGGTAGCTAATGTCACTCCCATCTTTAAAAAGGGTTCCAGAGGAGATCCGGGAAATTACAGGCCAGTCAGTCTGACGTCGATACCGGGTAAATTGGTGGAAACCATTATTAAGGAAAGAATTAGTAGGCACATAGATGAACAAAACCTATTGAGGCAGACTCAGCACGGTTTCTGTAAGGGAAGATCTTGTCTCACTAACCTGTTAGTGTTCTTTGAGGGGGTGAACAAACATGTGGACAAGGGGGATCCAATAGATATTATTTACCTTGACTTCCAGAAAGCTTTTGATAAAGTTCCTCATCAAAGGCTCCTAAGTAAGCTCAAAAATCATGGGATAGAAGGACAAGTCCTTTTATGGATCAAAAACTGGCTAGTTCATAGAAAACAGAGAGTGAGTGTAGGTGGGCAATTTTCTCAGTGGAGGGTGGTAAGCAGTGGGGTACCGCAGGGATCAGTACTTGGTCCACTGCTTTTTAACTTGTTCATTAATGATTTGGAGATGGGAGTAAGCAGTGAAGTGGCTAAATTTGCGGATGATACAAAGTTGTTCAGGGTGGTGAAAACCAGTGAGGATTGTGAGGCACTCCAAGGGGATCTGTCAAGGATGGGCGAGTGGGCGTCAACATGGCAAATGGGGTTCAATGTGGCCAAGTGCAAGGTGATGCACATTGGAGCCAAAAATCCTAAATATAAATACACATTGATGGGGTCTGAACTGGCAGAGACTGAGCAAGAGAGAGATCTTGGAGTTGTAGTGGATAACTCACTGAAAATGTCGAGACAGTGTGTGACTGCAATAAAGAAGGCCAATGCTATGCTGGGGATTATTAGGAAGGGTATTGAAAACAGATCAGCCAATATAATAATGCCCCTATATAAATCAATGGTGAGACCTCATTTGGAATACTGTGTGCAGTTCTGGGCACCACACCTTAAAAAGGATATTATATGGCCCCACTGGTGGACCTCCTGATGGCACTGTTATTTCTGGCCACTGTGTGACACAGAGTGTTGGACTGGATGGGCCTTTGGCCTGATCCAACATTGGCGTCTCTTATGTTCTTATGTTCTTATGTTTGAAAAATTTTAAATGACCCCCTATTTTTTTTTTACAACACTCCTGGGAAAGAAACCTCAGTCTTCCTATCAAGAAACGGTACATTTCAAAAAATAGGACACCGCATCTTTTACGACTGTGCTTATTCTGTTGCCCAACGGTGTTCTAGGTCTTTTAGATTTAAAAAAAAAATTCATTTGTAGGACAAAAAAAAGAATGATAAATCTTATTACATAAACTCATGCTATGCGTTGAGCTTTGAGAAGGAAATCTCGCAGGTACTAACTGAAAGCTTCTCGGCTTTCCCGTAGCACTTACTCCGGATTATTTTAGGTTTAACTGGAGTTAGCTTTGAAAGGGTTAAGGTCCTCATACACATTTTCACTTGCTGGAAGAACAAGAAAGATTTGAATCTCAAGTGCCGATTCAGCCAGGTTTAAAACAGATCAGGCTCTTTCTGAGAGCCAGCTTGGTGTCGTTAAGTGTGCGGACTAATCTGGGAGAACCGGGTTTGATTCCCCCACTCCTCCACTTGCAGCTGCTGGATGACCTTGGGAAGCCGTAGTTCTGGCACAGCTGTTCTTGAAAAAGAGCAGTTTCTGTCAGAGCTCTCTCAGCCCCACCCACCTCACAGGGTGTCTGTTGTGGGGAGGGGAAGGGAAAGGAGTTTGTGAGCCACTCTGAGACTCCTTTGGGTAGTGAAGGGCGGGGTATGAATCCAATCTCCTCTTCTTCTTTTACCTCCCAGGGCGTCTGTTGTGGGGAGGGGAAGGGAAAGGAGTTTGTGAGCCACTCTGAGACTCCTTTGGGTAGTGAAGGGCGGGGTATGAATCCAATCTCCTCTTCTTCTTGCTCCCCAGTGTTCCCATGTACCATTAGCCTTTTTTGGTGGCCCTTCTGTGAACCAGGCTGCTTCAAGCAGCATTTTGGGAGTAGGACAGGGAACAGAAGAGGAAGAGAAGAGATTGGATTTATACCACGCCCTTCACTACCCAAAGGTGTCTCAGGGCGGCTTACAAACTCCTTTCCCTTCCCCTCCCCACAACAGACAGCCTGTGAGGTAAAAGAAGAAGAAGAAGAGATTGGATTTATACCCCACCCTTCACTACCAAAGGTGTCTCAGGGCGGCTTACAAACTCCTTTCTTTACCCTCCCCACAACGGACACCCTGTGAGGTGGGTGGGGCTGAGAGAACTCTGACACAAACTGCTCTTTTTCAAGGACAGCTGTGCCAGAGCTTGTGACTGACCCAAGGTCACATCAGCAGGTGCAAGTGGAGGAGCGGGGAATCAAACCCGGTTCTCCCAGATTAGAGTCCACGCAACTTCTGATTTTTAATTTTTTTAATAGCTTATGAGTAGAGCCCATCAAAACTCAGCGATAGAGGAGAAAACGTCGCTGGTTAGTGTCGTAAAGAGACGCCATTTAAGAAGTAGCAGTCTCTTGAGGGGGGGGGAACCGAAGCGGGGAATGCCTCTCCTACGATGGACCATGCTGCTGTGTCATGCTCATGTCATCACCCAGCATCAGCCATTCAAGGGTGGAGCTCTCCAAAAAGGAAGCAAGCTTACTGAAGCTATCCAAGGACGCTGGACAGTGGACGTAGACCTCATCTGGCAAACATTTCTCCCACAGGACTCTCTGTTGTGACTTAAGATTGAACCGGCTTTTCAGCTGGTATAAAAGGAGGGAAGGGTCCCCCTTTGGCCACCAAAAAGCTATGCTGGAGGTCACAGGTCAAAAGCCATGTAGAACAGGGACTGTAAGTATGGAAGTAGATGTGATTTATTTATTTGCTTCATTTATACCCCACCATTCTCCCCAGTGGGGACCCAAGGCGGCTTGTATCGGTCTCCTCTGCTTTAATCCTCACAACAACCCTGAGAGGTAGGTTAGGCTGACAGAGCGTGACTGACCCAAGGCCACCCAGCGAGCTTCCACGGCACCAGTGGGGATTCGAACCTGGGCCTCCCAGATGCTAGTCAGACATTCTTAACCCCTACACCACACTGGCTCTCTACATAGAGTGGGAAAGTTGGCTGGATCCAACCTGCGGCTGTTCATTCACATTAAGGTTAGGCACTGAAACCTATGGGAAAACGGTTACCAGTGAATGCCATACATCACTTTATAACATAGAAAGGTATAAGAGAACATCTGGCATCCAGGGCAGGGAGGGACTGTGGCTCAGTGGAACAGCCCCTGCTTTGCATGCAGAAGGTTCCTGGTTCAATCCCTGGCATCTCCAGTTAAAAGGACTAGGCAGCAGTAAGAACCAGGAGAGCCGGATAGAGAATATTGACCTTGATGGGCCAGTGGCATTATTCAGTATAAGCTTCAGAGTTTCATCCATGGGCTCAAAATATTGGGGAAGAAGCCAGAGTGGAGTTCTTAAAGATAACCCAGCCTGCCACCTGCCTGCCTCCTGCCCTTTGGGAGAGGAGGAGGAGAAGACGCAACTTACCAACTCGGAGACGGAAGTTGTTGAAGGAGTGCCTGTTGATGCCGTCCAGTTTGGTCATCAAGCCCAGCGCAAACTCCACCATGATGCCGATCTGAGCGTGCTGTCTTTCCTGGTCCTGAGGGGTTTGGAAGGGGGTGGGTGCGTTAAAAGAGCTTTCGAGCTCAGGCACGAGAGGAATGCCGCCAGCTCACCAATACAGAGTGGAGTCAGCAGAGACCTCTATTAAAGTGGCAAAATGATTCGGCCACAGAACATACACACGACACCCCTAGACCAGGGGTCCCCAATCTGGTCCCCACCAGGTGGGGCTTTTTGCCCAGTAAGGCTTCTGACTGGCCACGGGAGATTTGATTGGCTGTGCAGATTTCTGGGAAACATTGCTTTCGCAGCAGCTGCCACCACAGCACCAGGATCTTCACTCTGTGACGGAAGGTAAGCCGCGACAGCCACTTTGTGTCTGCCGTTTTGTGGCCACGCCCACCGTGCCGTATCAGAATTCCAAAGGCACTCACAGTGTTAACAATGTCAGGGGACCCCCTTCCCTCGACAATCCTCCCGAGATGGCTATTGCACTAAGCAACGTACCAGATTGTTCTCTTGGCCCGGCGTAACACAAAGCCCTGATGCTGCCATATACGTGCTCCCAATAGTCTTGATTTTTTCAACACCGCTGAACTTCGGCTTCAATAGCAGCTGTTTGGGGAAAGGGGGAAAACAAAATGAGAATCCAGACATTTCCTAGACTCATTCAATTTGCAGCTTTGCAATCGGAAGCTAAATTCCACAGTAAAATTAGGAATGAGAATATGAGCCCCTCAAACTCTTTAAGAGTTTTATTGTTATCATCATCATCATCATTAATCAAATTTATGAATCGCCCCCATCCCTACTGTCATAGGGCTCTGGGCGATGACTCTCTAGTACAGGAGTCTCCAACATGGTGCCCCCAACACCTTTCCTGGCACCCAACGGGGCTTCTGATTGGCCACTGGGGATCCAATCGGCTGGGCAGATTAAAATAACATTGCTTCATAAGAACATAAGAGACGCCAATGTTGGATCAGGCCAAAGGCCCATCCAGTCCAACACCCTGTGTCACACAGTGGCCAGAAATACCAGTGCCATCAGGAGGTCCACCAGTGGGGCCAGGACATTAGAAGCCCTCCCACTGTTGCCCCCCCCAAGCACCAAGAAGACAGAGCATCACTTGCCCCAGAGCCCCTATCTATACCTTGTGGCTAATAGCCACTGATGGACCTCTGCTCATATGCTTATCTAATTCCCTTTTGAAGCCGTCCATGCTTGTAGCCGCCACCACTTCCTGTGGCGGTGAATTCCAGTGGCAGCTACCACCGCAGTGTTGGATTTCTTCTCACTCCTCTTTTTCTTATTGGAATGTGCCCCCCAGATATGCATCATCGTGGTTCCATGTGAATGGGCAATGCACGTATATTCCATATACATACGGCTTTGATATGTGCAAACAACGGACCCCAGATTCTTGAGGGGAAATATTTGTGCATAACAAAGCTGTATGCACATGGAAAACACCTATGTTGCCCCACTCACACAAAATGGTGACCAAAGGTATCAGGAGGCCCCCCCTCCCTCTGTTACATGCAGTTGGAGCATCCATATATTTTGCTACAGATACTGGAATACGAAATACATGTTCATCGTTGTAGCTTCTGTACAGTTCCATATGGGGACTACGCAGTTGCAGGCCAGCCACGGAAAAGATTCCCAAGCTTTCTAACAGACTAGGAGTGCCCCTCCTCCCTCTGGCGCTTTCCCGCCAAAATGCTCACATGACCAGGAGGAGGGGCGCTACTCCCTCAGTTCTCTTTTTGCGGCCACAGAGAGAAGATCTCCACTGCTGTTCTCTGTGTTTTTTCCTCACTTCAACTTTGAGACTGAGGAGACTTTTTCCTCTTAACAGTTTTTATTCTAGAGAACAATATAATATATCTAAAGAAGAATTTGTTTGTGGATTTCCACTGTGTCATTATGACTAAAAATGGTGCTGTTAAACGGCCATTCTCTGTGCCTTGGCTGCCTAGGGGCTCACACAGCAGAGCTGCCTGCTCTTGCTGTCATCAGTTTCCCCTGAAGGCATGTGTGGAAAGAGCTGGACTCAGAAGCTTCAAGCTTCACATATTGCCATGCCGGATAACAGCAACGTCTGAACACGCTAGGTGTAAAATTAAGCACTGCGGTTTATGCAGCCAAATCATTAAAATTAACATTTAGTCTTCCTAGCACCAGGGATTTTCCAAATGTGGCCCTTAGCGGCACAGCCTACCCATTCCTCCCATCTGCATCTGGACAAGAAGGCCTATCTTCACTGCAAAAGGTCAGACTAGGTGTAAAATGCTCCTTCCATAGCTATTCTCAGCATTAAGAGGGCCCTATGAACTGGAACCGAACCAAAAATACCTCGTCAAAATCGGCAATAATTTCGTTGAGTAGGCGAAGGCATTCTAGTCCCTCCTTGTTGACGTCGCACTCTGTGTAGAACACCTTGAAGTCCGGGACCGAGGCAAACATGACGCAGACGCAGTCGTAGGACTGATGGTACCAATCCTGCATGGAATGCAGAAACAGGATTTCATAACAATGCTGCTCACAGCCATCTATGGAGCAAAGACCAGGTCAGAGCCCAGCCTGCAGCTGGCCACACCGGGGGAACAGCCATTGTTTTTTAATTTTATTTTTTTATCATTTATTTTAAGGGGAAAGGAAGGCAAATCAAAAATAGGGGAAAGGGGAGAGATCAGGGAGAGAGAGGTAAGGACCAGGTAGATATTTATATAATTGTAAAAAGGGAGCTGTTTTGACCTAAATGGCTAGCCCTATCTCATCAGATCTTGGAAAGGCTTCAGGTTTATGGCGACACGCAGGCAGACGCATCTCCCAGACGTCCCGGGGATGTGATCTGCACATCAGCATGTAGGAGGGGGTGCGACAAGTGCCGTAACCCCCCCCCCCCGGAGCCTTGGGAAAAGGCTCCTAGCCATGGGGCTTTTGAGGGGTGACCTCTTCGCCGGCGTGATGCCAGAGAATTGAGGTGCTCCTCCGCCCCAAAGGTCCTGCCGCTGAGTGTCCACATGGACTCAGAGCTGCTGACCGGGACAAGCGTCGGAGATCGGGCGAGAAAAACGGATGCCGAGCGTGGCCGGATGGCCGGCAACAAACTGTGAGTCGGGTTGAAGCGAGCATGAGGATTTTTTTTTTAAGCTGCCCCCTTAAGGAGCGACGCAAAGTGAGTGGGGGAGGGGCCCCTCCCAAACGCATAAACGAAAACACGAAACTAAAGGGGGGAGCGGAAGAATAAGCGTCTAAATCTGTTTTAAGAGACTTACCAGAGCGCAGACAAGCGCAAAGGCGAATTTCTGAGACTTTAGCAACTTTAAGAAAAGTAAATAATCCAAAAAGATGGCGGGGAAGAAACCAGATAAGGACAAACTGTTGAAAGTGAAACTAGTGGGCAGTCCTCGAACAGACGAGACCACTGAGCTTTCCAAAGTGCTGGCAGACTCCTTGTGCCCTCTGCTGGACGAGATGACTAATATCAAGCAGCAATTGTCAACAATAGGTCAGAGTTTGGCTTCACAGCAGCTACAACTGACTAAATCTTTAAAAGCAACGGAGCAAATGGCCGAGAAGGTGAAGGAAATGGACGCCAATACTAAAAGAGTTAAGAAAAAGGTGCAAAAGCTGTAATTGAAACAAGCTACGAAAGAGTCACAACTTTTACTGCTGCAAATGGAGAAAGCAAATTTGGTCCTACGGTTCCAAGGGGTCCCAGAATCCAGAGGAGAGAATCTGAAGGAACTGTTGAGTGAAGCAATAGCCCCAATGACAGATTTGAAAGCGGAATATCTTTACAGCAAGATGGATGTGGTCTACAGGCCCTATTCCTTATACATCAAGAAGAATAATCTGCCTGGGGAAATAGTAGTCAGATTCTTGAAGAGACATGTGAGAGACTCTATTTTGAAAGCAACCACGGGAACACCCTTGAAAATTGGGGACAACAATATCAGAATTTTAAAAGATATCCCATTTGAAATAAGACAGAAGAGAGAGAAATATAAAGAACTAATCCTTTTTCTACAAACAAATGGCATCAGTTACAGATGGTTAATTCCAGAAGACGTCATTTTCAAGCTCCACAATAAAAAAGAAAAGATTGACTCTGTTCCTAAAGCACGCGAGTTTCTGAGAACACAGCTGGGGGAACCAGCTGAGGACAAGAAAGAGGAAGAAGAAAGCAAATCAGAGGGCGAGTTAGGCTCGGTGTCTTCTGACGAGGACTCTCTTTCTGAAAAGGGGGCGGCTGCCCCCAAAAGTCCATATAAATTGAGGATAAGAAAAGACAAGAGAAAATAGAGGCTGAAGGACTCTGAATTGTGCCTGAAAATTCTGTAATAATTTTGGGATGCTTTGAGGGTTTCATGAAACAGATAAATAGATGGTTAAAAGATAAATAACCTAGCATAACTGACTATGTTCAATGTATTATTAGCAATTTAGACTAACATTGAGATAAGCTGATGTATTGATCTCCCATTCTTGGGGTTTTAGTTATTCGTGGGTTTCTTTCCTTTCTCCTTAGATGTAGTTTCCCTTCCTATATTTTCAGTTATAGTTTGTAGTCTTGTGGAAAAAACCAATAAAAAACTCCGCTTCGGGGAATTTAAAAAAAAAAGATCTTGGGAAGGGCCGGCTCTGGTTAGTACTTGGATGGGAGACCTCCAAGGAATACCAGGCTTGTGACGTGGAGGCAGGCAATGGCAAACCATCTCTGAACGTCTCTTGCCTTGAAAATGCTACAGGGTCGCCAAAAGATGGCTGCGACTTGACGTCACTTTTCACCACCACAAAAAGTGGCTCGAAAGAACCTCTCCCTCTCTCATGACAATAGAGCTTGGGAGCGCTCAACAGAGATGACAGGCAGTAGGATTCAGGTCTGACAAAAGGAAGTAATGAACTAATTATTGTGGAGTGCCAGTGAGTGTGGGGATAGCTGGTAGCACAGATGGCTTTAAAAGGGGATTAGAAAGATTCGTGCAGGAGAGGTCCATCAGTGGGCCACCAGCCACGATGACTAAAGGAAACCTTCCTATCCAGAGGTGTAAACCTTGGAATACCAGTACTAGGAAGCAATATCAGGGAAGGCCTTGGCTTCTAAACCCCATTTGTTGGCCCTCCATACGTGGGATACTGCACTACACGAACCACTGGTCTGAGCCGGTGAGGCATCTCTTCTTCAGAAGGAGAAACGGAAGAGGGCAGCAAGTCTAGTGGCGAGTTGGACTCGGGTTCTTCCGGAGAGGACTCTCTGACAGAGCAAGGGGCAGCCGCTCCAAAAAGTCCTTATAAGCTGCGGAAGAGACGAGGAAAGGAGAAGTGAAGGCTGAAGGACTCTGAATTGTGCCTTTGAGAACTCTGAAAGGGGAATGATTGGGGGGGGTACTGTTTCTAGACAGTTAAATTTAAGAGTTAAAGAAAAAGAAAGTAATACAAATGTTTGCCTCAGTTTATAAGAATCTAAGTGAAGTGAAGATTTGCTGTAACTAAGCTAGTGAAGATCTCCTCTCTTGGGTTTTTAGTTAGTAGTGGGTTCTTTTGCTTTATCCTATATATGTAGTCACCCCTTCCCTTTTTCTGTAGTAGTTTTGTAGTTTGATAAAAAATAATAAAAAATCCCCTCCGGGGGCTCAAAAAAAGAAAGAAAGAAGGAGAAACGGATGGATTCTGAAATGGATAAGGAGTGCGCAGCACAAGGTTGACTGCCTCAAATGTGAGCTCTCTTGGAGGTTACCAAACAACGGTTACCTAGCAGCAAAAGCCGAAGTGTGGTCCAATGGCAAAGCGCTACTGTTCTGTACCTCGTTCAGTTTGTCCCCGATAAAATGGGCCGCGACGTGGGCCGGGAGGACGTTCTCCAGCAACAGCCTGTTGACGTTCTCCATGGTCTCAAATTCCTCGTGCTCTTTTTTTAATTTATTCTTTTGTAGGCAGTCTAGCCGGCAGTAATAGTCGATCTGCAAACAAGGGGGAGAGTTGGGGAAATCCATCAGCATCACCACCACCTGCTGCAGTCACGAATACTGTCAACATGCAAGGCAGTTAAAACGGCAAGACTGACGTGGCTAATTCCGCTACGCAATGGCAGAAATCCATCTGTGAGGACCTGAGAAGGAAATCTCTCAGTCCAAGGTATTGTGGAATACTTAACCGACGGCAGGCGACTGAGACCATAAAATAGGGTCACCATATTTTGAAAAGCACAAAAGAGGACATATATCCCGACTGACTACTTCGGACGAGCGATCGCTATGACACATCTCATTTTAAATGACCCTACTGTTTAAGCTGTGATCATTGCTACCAGGGCTCTTTTTGTAGAAAAAGCCCAGCAGGAACTCATTAGCATAATAGGCCACACCCAACAGCTGAAACTCATTACCATATTAGGCCACACCCCTGACACCACAGCTCATTAGCATACTAGGCCGCAGTCCCGTGCTGCCAGAAGTGTGCTCATCCAGCCACACCCACCTTTTGCTTCTTATTCTGTTGACCTTGTTTGCTTCTTATTCTGTTGACCTTGTTTGTTGTCAAAACCCAGGGCCTTTTTTTGTAGCAGGGACTCCTTTGCATGTTAGGCCACACACACCTACTGTAGCCAATCCTAATGAGTTTCTGCTGTTGGATGTGGCCTATTATGCTAATGAGTTCCTGCTGGGTGTGGCCAACTCAGGAGCCAGCCGGAACTCCGTTCCTGTGCGTTCCTGCCCAAAAATAGCCCTGATTGCTACTAACTAGGAATATTCCTAACCTTCTGACCCCTAAAGCGGACATTTTCATCAGTTTTTGAAAAAGAACCCAAAAGAGGATGGACACCAAAAAAAGAGGACATGTCCTCTAGAAGAAGAAGAGAAGAGATTAGGTTTCACTCGGAGTCTCAGAGCAATTTACAATCTCCCTTCCCTTCCCCTCCCCACGACAGACACCCTGTGAGCTAGGTAGGGCTGAGAGAGCTCTGACAGAAACTACCCTTTCAAGGACAGCTCTGACAGAACTATGGCTTGCACAAGGTCATCCAACAGCTGCAAGTGAAGGAGTGGGGAATCAAACCTGGTTCTCCCAGATTAGAGTCCGCACACTTAACCACTACACCAAACTGGCTCTAAAAAGAGGACATCTGGTAATTCTACCATAACAAGAACTGTAACTGTAATACTTAATCTCTTGTACACATGAAGCTGCCTTATACTGAATCAGACTCTTGGTCCATCAAGGCTAGTACGGTCTACTCAGACTGGCAGCGGCTCTCTAGGGTCTCAGGCAGAGATCTGTAACATCACCTACAACCTGAACCCTTCTTTTTTAACTGGAGATGCCTGAGATTGAACCTGGGACCTTCTGCATGCCAAGCAGATGCTCTACCACAGGGCCACATGACTCCTCCAAAAAACGTCTAGTTCAACTGGAGTTTGGAACAGGTACTGGTCTTTCACATCACCTACTACCTAATCCTTTTCACTGGAGGTTGAACCTGGGACCTAAGCAGATGCTCAGCCACTGACCCCTGGTCCCTCCCCAGCAGAGAACAGAACGTTGGGACCATGTGATTTTTATTGTCTTAAGTTCATTTTTGTAGCTATCCCCTGGACGAACAGCAACTGACACTAAAACACGATTTAATTCTGTTGTTACTGGTATAAACTCTTCTGTACCTCGAAGGGGTACAGAGTAAACCCTTCTAAGCCCATCGACTTCAATGGGTTTAAGAAGGGCGCAACTTGTCTTAGGACAGCATTCTAAAGCCACCGCTGTTCCTTCGACCCTCTGAAATGGGCGACCGGGCAGACAATCCCGTCCTTCAAAGTGCCTTTCTGAACGGTCTCACAGTTAGGTGCATCACATCAGACGAAGCCATGAAACACCATCACACGCCGAAAACAAATGGCAGGAGACTTCCCTCTCTGTTCAGGCTGCATCATTACAGTCTAATGTGCTCCCCGGAGCCACATTTCTATTTTAAACCGTACTTAATTATTTATCCCAAATCACAGTGCCAATTTCCCCCCCAGATTGCCTTGGCAGTCGTTCAACACCGTTGTTATTAATGTTAATATTCCCGCAGACTTGAGCCGCACACGGCGCTTCCCTTTGATGGCTACACGCGGCGAAAGGGCCACTCGCATCCCCACAAACTAGGGTTGCCAAGTCGAAATAGTTCCTTACCGGGGGACTCCCGCGCTGTGGCTGGAGCGTGTGCGCGCCGTACGCACGTCACCCAAAAGTGACGTGACGACGCCTGGCACACTGGGGGCGGGGCCAAGACCGTCTGAGGGAAAACCATAGAGTTTTCCCTCGGATGACCGTGGCCCCGCCCCCAGCGTGCCCAGCGTGGTCGCGTCACTTCCGGGTGACGCGCACGTCGGGGTGGGGTTCCCCCCGGGGCCCGATCCACCAGCAGCGGGGAACGGGCCTCTGGGGCAGGGGTTTCCCCGCCCCCTGGGGGGACTTGGCAAGCCTACCACAAACGTCTCTCTCTGCCACCCAGCAGCTACCGGAATCCCGTGCACATGCGTGGAACTCTGAAGCTCTCCGGCCTCCCAAGCCTACCCAGGAATCACAGAGCAATGTAAAAGAACATAGTCAGAGTCCAGTGGCGCCTTTAAGACCAACACAGTTTTATTCAAGGTGTGAGCTTCCGTGTGCATGCACACTTCATCAGACGATGAAATGGAATTACTGATCACAGTTGTATATATAGGAGTGGTTTGTTACATTTGCACGCAAAATAGTGGGGAGACATTTTTTAACAGATCAAAAGAATGACAAGTTTGGTTCCTGGTTATCATCTGTTTCGGTTCGGGGGGGGGGGAGGCAACATAGGCAATAAATATGTTCGAACTGGAGACGGATGTGCCCGAATCTGTGCAGATCCCATCCTTAGACCCTTTCCATCCCCTTTCAAGCGTGGAGTTGAATTTTAAAGCATCTTTGCTCCGTAGAGGGTTTTCCTCGTCCCCCAAAACAAAGAACTGCATTTAAATCTACCATTCCAAATCTACATTACATATTCAATTATATTCTTAATGGCTAAGAGTAGTAATAACATTTTGCTTCAATAGAACATGGAGTGTAATGTGAAAACACGACAAAAGCCACACATCGGCTCGTTGAGGGTAACACAGCACAGGGAGGGCAAAGTCCACACTCTGTGGCTGATCTCGCCCAGATTTTGGCCTGCACAGGTGCACCGGGGAAATATACTGAACTGGTGTGGCTCCGAGTTATGCCGGTGTGGGGGGGTCAGTCAGCTCTCTGCCGGGATCCCATGGAAGAGGTCAGCAAGGCTCCATCCCCCAATCCCCATAACCTCCCCTGGGCCCAGGGGTCATTTCGTAGAAAAAGAGGTGCAGGGGCTCATTAGCATAACTCATTAGCTTATTTGCATATGCCACACCCCCTGACATCACCGGATGTGTGTCAGAAGGCAACACCCAACGCTCAGGCTCCACTGGACTGTTTTGGATTGCTAGCTATGGGGGGGAGGGACATGCAGATCTGTCCTCGCAGAGGAGGGAGAGCTTGTACCTGAATAAAACCTGGTCTTAAAAGTGCCACTGGACTGTTTTGGGCTGGGGTGGGGGGGCTCTGCATCTTACCTGGCTGCTTCTTGCTCTGACTGAGGGCTGCTGGGAGCAGGGGGCGGGGCTTGTTGCATGTGCCCGCCCCCTGGGCTCTTTACTGCCGGAGCTCCGCTCCTGTGCGCTCCTGCAGGAAATGACCTCTGCCTGGGTCTACAACAGGTGTAATGAGCCACACCAGACACGGCATCTCCCCCACCCTCTAGCTGCTGTTCCTTCTTCATTGTATAGTGGCAGAAACGCTGTCCCCCCCCCTCCAGAAATAGGTTGCTAAGCGTATCCTGACCTGGGTGGCCCAGGCTGGCCTGATCTTGTCAGATGTCAGAAGCTAAGCAGGGTCGGTTAGTAGCTGGATGGGAGCCCACCAAGAAAGAAGGATGAGGAGGAGGAGACTGAGTATATACCTCGCCCTTCACCACCCAAAGAAGTCTCAGAGCATCTTACAGTCTCCTTTCCCTTCCCCTCCCCACAACAGACACCCTGTGAGGTAGGCGGGGCAGAGAGAGCTCTTTCTGAGAACTGCCCTTGAGAGAACAGCTCCGAGAGAATTTGTGACTGACCCAAGGTCACACCAGCAGCTGCATGTGGAGGAGTGGGGAATGAAACCTGGTTCTCCACGCTCCTAGCCACTTGGAGAGATCTGAATATCATAAACTGCTTTGAAAACAGTTTTCGCTTTTATTAAATAAACAGAACGGGCACATCAGTGTTAGAAACACGCAGAGAAATCCGGCAGCTGCATGTGGATGAGGGGGGGGATCAGAGCCGGTTCCCCCAGATTAGAGTCCATGCTCCTGACCACTACACCAAACTACACCAAGGTTGCTAGGCGGAGGCAGGCAAGGGCAAACCACCTCTGAATGTCTCTTGCCTTGAAAACCCGACAGGGTCACAGAAGTCAGCTATGACTTGATGGCGGGGGGGGGGGGGGGGAGAAGGCTTACATTCAACAGCCAGATGTTTCAGTCACTACAGGGATGGGACTGCTTATTCCATACAGGTAGGATGGACATCCCCTCCCACTAATGCCAGCTGCAAGCTGGGGTGTGTGTGTCCAGGCATGATATGTAGGGCTTCTTGGTCACTCCCTTCTCGCTCCGATGAAATGACTGTACACCCGCCTTCCCATGCACCAACAGAGGCAGAAACTGAATGCAGGTAACGTTTCTGTACTTCATCTCTCAGAAACCTGATTTAGTGAATTCCACATGTGCACACCAGTGGTGGGTGAAAGGCTGAAAAGCACTTTAGGCAGCATGTGTGAATTCCGCCCTGCAGAAGGCTGGTTTTAGAACGGCTTTTCAACTTTTCCGCAATTTACCCAGATCAGATCGAAAGAGCCATTCAGTAAGTCATAAGGCTAACAATAGATTGAAGTAAGAGCAGTTCTCTTACAAAGGAATTTCAAAGGGAGATTAGAAAGAGAGACTGCTGAATTGAAACTGGGAAGGAAGCTCAAGACAATGCATCCACCTGGACTGAATCAAGACCTAGGTTTCCCGTCTCATTACCAATGCTGACTTCTCCACGCCTATTACCCCCTCTGCATATCTCACCTAAATCCAATCACGTCTGCTATTGCTATTCACCTGCTATTATCATTTGCCTGCTAATGTCATTTGGCATCTGGAATCACTCCACTTTCCAATAAATAGGGCAGATGGACTCCCGTTCCAGCTGCATCTGATTAAGTGAGCAGTGACTCACGAAAGCTCACAGCCTGCCATGTATTTTGTTAGTCTTTAAGGTGCGACTGGACTCTTGCTCTTTTCTACTGCAATAGATTCAAGAAAACAGTCCCGGAATCCGTACCTGTTTTGACAGAAGAACCAGGGTTATGTAGAACAAAGCCAGGTATAAATTGGTCATTATTCTTGGGTCTTTCATAATAAACCTAAAAACAAAAGCATAATACAGGAATTTGTTTTACTTTTTTGTACAGATCTGAGACAGGATTTATTGCATTTTTACCCTGTGCTTCTTTCTAAGGGCCTTACAGCTGCATATACGGTTCTCCCTTCATTCATTTTCACCTCACACCAACCCTATGAGGTAGGCTAGGCTGACTGGGTAGGCAAGGCCATGACTGTGATGTACGAAGGTGAAGCTATCAATTATAAAAACACAAATATTTATTATGGTGTACACATTAGTAAAAGATAAAATAGCTTAAAGGAAATGATCCAAATATCAGACTCTTAAAGCTTTGTACACACAGAGCTGTTAGTTCCACATATACAATTTATGGGTATATCTTACGACCAATGCTCCCTCTAAGCCAGGGGTGTCAAACTCATTTGTTACAAGGGCCGGATCTGACCTAAATGAGACCTTGTTGGGCCGGGCCATGCGTATCATAAAATGTAATGCCAGGGAGCGGAGATATAAACTTTATAAAGGACACAAACACAAAGGGTTTTTTTTTAACTTAAAATAAAGACATGCTTAAAACATTAGCTCTCTTGTGATATTTTGTTTATTTAACAGTGTCTGATCACTGACACCTCTTGCTCTGAATTACTGCATCAAAATATTTGTGCTGTTGCAGTCTTGAGTATGCTCTTCAGGTGTGTATCTGTAAGCTGCAAACCTACGATGACACAGCAGCAGCAGAACTGGAAGAAGAAGCAGAAGACAGCCAGTTCCACTGTGGGCCTGATCCGGCCCCTGGGTCGCATGTTTGACACCCCTGCTCTAAGCTCTTGTGAGCAAAAATTCTACTTCGTGAGCCACTGGCATTAAAGTTGTGAGCGAGCGATTTGGCTACTGCATAAATTAGTTTGCTATGGAGCCATTCTTCCCAAGCTAAGACAAAAATGTGTGAACCGGAGGCTAAAAAACTGTGAGCTAGCTCACACTAACTCAGCTTAGAGGGAACAGTGCTTATGACCAGTGGACCATTTAATGTTTTGACCCCTCAGGGCCTTTCTCAGTGGTCAATACTACTATTGTAAAACAACACACATCCAGAAATAAATATATGAAAAAAGATTTTCTGTAGAGCCAGCTGTTGCTTTCTCATGTGATGTGCAATTGCTAGAAGTTCATGTGCAATTGCTAGAAGCAGGCCATGGATAATCTCTCACGGCAACTGCATAGGCTCTCCAAATTGTTCTGGTAACAAATATCCAATGTGTCTGGATGTGTGTCTCTTCCATCAGAGGTAGTAATCGAGTTGCATACTGCTAACGTTACATCAATATATAGTGAGCCCAAGGGCTTCCAAGCTTTATGGCTGAGTTGGATTTGAACACAGGTGTCCTCCCTGCTCTGTCAGCACCAGGGGTCATTTCGTAGAAAAAGAGCTAGGGGAACGTATTAGCATAACTCATTAGCATATGCCACACCCCCTGACATCACCAGAAGTGTGTCATAAGGCCACACACCCCGCCCCCAACGGTCCCGGCCGCCGCTGCCGGCCTTGCAGCTCCACTGCCGAGCCCCATGAGGGGCCTGGCGGTGGACCTGCAAGGCCGGTGGGAGTGCAAGGAAGCCCCGCAAAGGCCCTCCCTGGCCCCAGACAGGCAGGGGTGGGGAGAGGCAGGGAGGAAGCAACTTACCCTCCCTCTTCTCCTGCCTCCTCCTGGCTGAATGAGGGCCGGAAGCGGGGCGGCCGGAAGCAGGGGGCAGGGCTTCGTCATGTGCCCCGCCCCCCGTACCTCACCCGGGGGGACTGCGATCCCCCGCGATCCCCCCCGAAATGACCTCTGGTCAGCACTATCTAACTGTTATGTATTGTGTTATATGGATAGCCTGAATTGTAGAATGAGCCTGAGCTTCAGTCACAAGCTCCCTAGACTCTCAGTATCCTGAAACCAACGGCCTGATTGGCTGCCATTGTGCAATAGACCAATCAGGGAAGACGATGACTTTCAGCGGGAACAAACCCTATTGGTCCTAAGCACTCACTTATGATTGGACCTTACTGTTCTAGGGGTGTGGTTTAGCCAGTTCCAAACTGTATATAAGTTGGGGTTCTGTGTGTTCAGTGTTGTTACGTATTCTGTTCTAATAAATTGAAATCACCAATTTAAGAAAGAGCTGCTACAACACTAACAAAGGCAGCTTTGACTCTTGAAAGCTTATGCCCTGAAAAACTTGTTGGTCTTTAAGGCAGGGGTGTCGAACTCATTGTTATGAGGGCTGGATCTGACATAAATGAGACCTTGTTGGGCCGGGCCATGTGAGTCATAAAATGTGACGCCAGGTAGCGGAGATATAAACTTTATAAAGGACACAAACACAAAGTTTTTTTTACTTAAAATAAAAACATGCTTAAAACATTAGCTCTGTAAGCTGCAACCCTACTTTAGATTTATTAATGTTCACCACAGAAATCTCATGCTGAGCGTTCTGAGTCTAGGACCCAGGTTAAAACATGAAATGGCTGAGTGATTAAGAGAGTCTGGCGAAGCAAGCTACGATGCAGCAGCAGCAGCAGAACTGAAAGCAGGAGGTGGCCAGTTCCGCTGTGGGCCTGATGGAAGCCCTCCAGGGGCCTGATCTGGTCCCCGGGCTGCATGTTTGACACCCCTGCTCTAAGGTGCTACTGGACTCAAATCTAGCATTTCGAGCACAAGAGAGCAGAGAGATACAACGTCCTGGGAGGGGGGGGGGGGAGAATAGAGAAATAAAGGTATGAGAAAAACAGCTGAGTATTTCACAATCTCAAGGAAACTGCAAGTGTGGAGGGCAGGGCAGGACTCGTATCCCATCATCGGGATGTCACAGGCGCAAGCCAATACGTGCTCGTAAGGTTAGCACAGCCATGATCCAGACAACACCCATTATCAAAATATAGATGGTATCCTACAGTGCAGTCCCAAGCAGAATTCCACCCTTGTTAAGCCCACTGAAGTCAACAAGCTTAGAAGGGTGAATGGCTGGAATACTTTTTAAAATGTCACGGTACTCCAGAAGGATTCTACCTCCTCTCAGATGTCATGGGTCACTTCTTGACACTGCAATCGACAACTGCAATGAGCTTATGGAGACAGCGTTATTAAAGGGGGAAGAGATACCGTACCTTTGGGTGGTGTTGTTCACATTCAGCAGCTGCCAGGTATTAAAGATGATGAAGTATCCAACAACGCCTCCCGACAAAAGGATAAGTTTGAGTTCAAAGCTCATCCGGAGGAAGACGGAGCAAGCAATAAACCCCAGGAGGCAGCAATAGGTGTAATACTGGAAAAGAAAAATTCAGACAGGTCTGAGAAATCCATCAAATACATGGTGCTTTGAAGATATGGAGAAAAGACAGATCTCTGCCCTGAAGAAGAAGAGAAGATTGGATTTATACCCCGCCCTTCAGTACCCGAAGGAGTCTCAGAGCGGCTTACGATCCCTTTCCCTTCCCCTCCCCACAACAGACCCCCTGTGAGGTAGGTGGGGCTGAGAGAGCTCTCTCAAGAACTGCCGTTCTCTGAAAGAACTTGCAACTGACTCAAGGTCACACCAGCAGCTGCATGTGGAGGAGTGGAGAACCAAACCCGGTTCTCCCAGATTAGAGTCCACATTCCCAACCACTACACCAAACTGAGGAGTTTACAGTCTTCATACTTTACACAGCCCACAGGTTAGGTCTGGGATCTCTACCCTCTGTCATGTGGAACACAGTTGTGTGCTCTCCTCAATTCCCATGGGTCTTGTACCCAGTTTGGGTTAGAACTGTGGTACGTGTGGAGAAGGGGATCCAGGCTTCCTCCGACACCATTTCCCCAATCTGAAACAGTCTTGCAGGGCCAGTTGGGGAAACCCACGTGCAATGCTCCCTCTAAGCTGCGGAGTCATGTGAGCAAAAATTCTACTTTGTGAGCTACTGGCATGAAAGCTGTAAGTGAGCTATTTGGCTTCTGCATAAATTAGTTTGCTATGGAGCCCTCCTCCTTCCTGAGCTAAGACAAAGAATGTGTGAGCTGGAGGCTAAAAATCGGTGAGCTAGGTCACACTAACTCAGCTTAGAGGGAACAGTGCCCACATCGGTGTTTTCTCTAAGCTGAGTTAGTGTGAGCTAGCTCACAGTTTTTTAGCCTCTGGCTCACACATTTTTGCCTTCGCTCAGGAAGGAGGGCTCCAGAGCAAACTAATTTATGCAGTGGCCAAATCGCTCGCTCACAACTTTAATGCCTGTAGCTCAGAAAGTAGAATTTTTGCTCACAAGACTCCACATCTTAGAGGGAACACTGGCCCACATGTATCTCAAGGAACTTGTGAGTTTCTCCAAACACTGTCCTTCCCCCAGACATAGCAGGAGACCACAGAGACAGGTACAAGCTGGGAAACATGGAAACTGTTGTGCAAAGCTGTTGTACAAAGTCACAACATGAGAAGACATGAGTCACTGGAAAAGACAATAATGCGAGGAAGAGTTGAAGGCAGCAGGAAAAACAGAAGACCCAACACGAGATGGATGGATTCAATCAAGGAAGCCACAAGTGGAATCCACCGCAGCTCCGGTGTATTACATGGCATAAAACAAAGATGAAGGGTGGCAAGTTCAGTATGAGAATGTACATGTTGATTGAGATACATGTATGAATGGTGAAGAAAAGAATGAATATTAAGGGAATAACAAAGGAATCTTAATAGAAGTTAAGATGGTGATTAATATAAAAAATAAGTGGCAGATATGGGGATAATTAAATGTCTAAGTCTTTTGTTTTTGGCTCCGTGTTAGATAATTTGGAAGATTTTATAGATATAATACAGGAGAAAAAAAGGTATGAAATGCGTGATATGTAACTTCATTGGAATAACATCAGATATAAGAGATTAATGAATTTACTATGATTTTGTAGATGTGCCTAAAATTATGTACTTGTATTTCTTTTTTGGGGGGGGATTAATAAATAGATTATTAAAAAAAAAATCAGGGAAGCCACAAAGGCCCTCAGTTTGCAAGATCCGAGTAAGGCTTTGGACAGTGGGATGTTTGGGAGGTCATTCATTCATAGGGTTGACGTTAACACACATGTAACAAATACCTTAGGGAGGAGGACACAGCATCTCTCAAGTCCAAAAAGATGGGCTTGGGAATCTAAAACGGGCAACTTACACTTTGTAGTAAACTTTACTCACCGAGTAGATTATGACACTATTCTCAGCCAGCTGGTTTGCCAGGAGAGGAAGGGGGGGGAGAGAGAGAGAGAGAGAGAGAAAAACATTGGTCAAGTTTCCAGCTAACACACCCAACACAATATTTCTGCAATGGTACCTCCAGGTGGGGATGGCAAAGGAGAGGAGAGAGCAAACTTGACCACCTCTGAACTTCGTATTTAAACTTCTCCCAGAATAGCAATGCTGCCCACATAGTGCCTTTTCCTCCATGGACAGCTCCCATGGAAGACAAACCTTCAGGCCACGTTCACGGGCTATGGCGTGTTTCTAGCACCATCGGTTTGCTACTGGGGTTGCCACACCTCCCGCTATGGTGGGACGGCCTCCTGCTGATTGTCTTGGTTGCCCACCACCATTCCAAGGGGTGGGGGGAGAAATCATTGCTGGCCTCTGTGCCATTGTGTCACTGCTGGGTACTACCCAGAAATGACAACGGGTAGCTCTAGGAATTGCAGAAACTCTATGGTCTATGGGGATTCCTAGAACTACCCATTGTCTCTTCCAGGTTGTATCCAGAAATGATGTAGTGATGTGCCCCCCTGCCCTCCTATTGGTTGCCAGGCATGGCCTGGAAACCCTATGTATTATGGTCAGGGTAATCCTGAGCCATCGTAGCTATATTTCATTACAGCTGGCCATGAATTAGAGCCACAGGTTTCCTCACTGGAGTATGGTACCGCTGTTAGCTGCTGTTTCAATTTAAGGCAGGAAACCAGGATCTAGCCTGAGCCCCTCATCCTTGCTATACCTCACTTTTCTTTTTTTCTTTTTTTTGTGTGAAGAACAAAGGTAGGGCTATACCACATGGTCAGATTATAGGCAGTCAGTTGACCAGGTTCCTGGTCCTAGTGGACAACGGCATGCCCACTACAGAGAAAAGAGATGGAAACTAGGATGGAGTTTGTGCGCCAAGTGATCAAGACTCTGGCAATGGGGAATTCTGGAAAACCTGCAAACGTACACTGTCGAACAAAGCTATTTATCTATGACACAAAATTTTGACTTTTTACTTACCGGGGTGGCTGATTCCTCAGTAGATGATGCAGTATAGTTTCCTGTGTGCTGGGCTGTTGGCTGATGAAAGCATTAAAAGCAGGTTAGTGAACCCAGGAATTCAAATACTTACAAAGAGCAATGGCCTAGACATGTCAAAGCAGGAAAAGGGAAGGAGGAAGAGAGTGATTGGAGAGGCGACATTTGGCTGGGAGGGGGATTTTCTTTTTCCCTTTCCCGAGAACTGAAACAGGGGAAAACTAAAAATCCTGGAGGGGGGGAACTGAGACACACGTTCGTGGAACTCATTTCCTCATTTAGGGCGATGAGTAAACGGCCGCTTCAAGAACTGTTTTGCAACAGTATTGTTAAGCGGCCAATGCACACTGCTGCAAAACCTCTTGGAACTCAGATTCGGAGACAGCAAAGTCAGCGATTTCGTGCACCGCCACAGCATTTGAGACCCAACACCTGACCTGGGTGGCCCAGGCTAGCCCCGATCTCATCAGATCTCGGAAGCTAAGCAGGGTCGGCCCTGACTAGTATTTGGATGGGAGACCCCCAAGGAATACCAGGGTCGTGACACAGAAGCAGGCAAGGGCAAACCACCTCTGAATGTCTCTTGCCTGGAAAACCCTACGGGGGTCACCGTAGGTCAACTGCCACTTGATGGCATTTTCCACCCCCGCCACCACTAACCCAACAGCAAGCTTAGCCATCTTTGGTACTAGGACAGAAACAATTTGTTAAGATGCCCGTATCTGGACATCACAACAGGCAGAAGTCTGGCGAAGCCTCCTGTCTTCATTCTCAGTGTGTGTCGTTGGTTACGCTACAGCGGACTGATACTCTTCACTCTGACACTGGTGATACTTGCAATAATTGTGGAGTTATAAATGTTGTAAGTCTACCACATTTACGTGCTGCGGAAGTTACGTGTAATAGATTTCATTTTTTTTAAAGTTAAACTTCGCTTTGACTGCAAAAATGCCAACTTTGTTTTAAAAAATCTCAATTTTCATTTTCATTTTCCCCCTGGGGGAGCAGCAGACAATAAAACAACAGGAAATATTGGCTGCTTTCACCTGTATTGGATAATGAACACACACAAAGCTGCCTTATACTGAAATCAGACCTTTGGCCCATCGGGGTCAGTATTGTCTACTCAGACTGGCAGCGGCTCCCCCCAGGGTTCTCAAGCAGAGGTCTTTCACATCACCTCCTGCCTGGTCCTTTTTTAAAAAATCGGAGATGGCGGGGATTGAACCTAGGATGTTCTGCATGCAAAGCAGAGGCTCTTCCCCTGAGCCACGGCCCCTCCAATAATGCGCTTTAGTGATCATTTGCAAACAATCACAAGTATACTGAAAGTGCATTTATCCAATCATGCACTTTAGTGATCATTTGCAACTGGACTTTCCTGTTGCATACCAGAAAATCCACTTGCAAACAATCATTAAAGTATACTGAAAGTGCATTATCCAATCATCACTTTAATGATCATTTGCAACTGGATTTTCCTGTTGCATACCAGAAAATCCACTTGCAAACAATCATTAAAGTATACTGAAAGTGCATTATCCAATCATGCACTTTAGTGATCATTTGCAACTGGATTTTCCTGTTTCATACAGGAAGATCCACTTGTAAACAGTCACTAACATACACTGAAAGGGCATTATCCAATGGGTGTGAAAGCAGCTGCAGATTTCCCTCAACCCTCCATTAGGGCTGGGATATTCATGGAGATTTCAGGGGTGCAGACTGGAGAGGGCGGGATTTGAGGAGGTGAGGGGCCCCAGGGAGGTATAATGCCGTAGCGTCCGCCCTCCAAAGCAGCCATTTTCTCCAGGGGAGCTGATCTCTGTAGTCTGGAGATCTGTTGTAATTCTAGCTAGAGGTTGGCAAATCTACCCCCTTTGGCTTCAACATTTCCAGAAATTGTACTGGAATTAGTCCTGAATTAAACGCTATATTCTGCAACATATATTCACATCCGGCATGCATGGAAGAACTGCCCTGCTGGATTCTGTTAGAGGTCCACGTAGTGTTATTATTTTGTTTTGAACATTTGTCAGGCAAATGTTTCTGGGTAATCCACAAGCGGGACAAAACCACCCTCGCCTAAGATCTGAGGTTCAGACAGAGATGTGGTGCTTCTGAATGGGAAAGCTCCACCCAGCTAAGGCAACGAACAATGATTAGACCGACCCTTCCATGGATTTCTCGAGTCCTTTTCTTAAAAGGCTATCTAAGCCCGCCATCACCTCTTGTGGCAGTGAGTTCCACATGCTAACCATGTGCGGGTCTGCCTCGAGCAGGGCTTGCTGCCACTCCCAGTCAGGTAAACAGAGAGGGTTCAAAGGACGTGCCCGCTATCCAGGAAAGCAAAATTACCAAGTTGAAGACTGCTATGATTAACAAAGAGCTGATGGCAATGGCCGCCAGCGGGAGTCTCACGGTCGGCATCGTCTTGACTTTCTTCGAAAACGTGCACAGGTACCGCACAGGAGGCCACCGTTCCGAGCAGCTTCTCTGCAAACAAAAGAGACGTGCCTCGGAGTGAAGGGCAAGCTCACTGGCTTCCAACATCTCTCCTGCCATTGTTTAACTCTTAATGCATTTGTAGCCCACCCTCCTTCACCGCCTCCCTCTTATCTTCACAACAACCACCCTACCTATGACACGAGGATCGAGAAAGGAGAGAGACAGACAGCCTCACTCCAGGTCACCCGGTGAGTGGGGATTTGAACCTGGGTCTCCTAAATACTAATCCCACCCTTTAATCCAGGGGACCCCATCAACCTTTGTGGGCCCATGGATACCCTCAGATACCGAATTCAGGGCTCGGTGTGCAGACGTGTCTGGCCTCCCCCCCACCTCTCCCTAGCAGGGTTTAAAAAGACCCTTTAGACACTGCTGGGGAGAGACGGGAGCCTCCACTCCCCAACGTGATGACGTCACGTCCCCCTCCACTCCCCACCCCCTACAGTAAGCCCCCCCCCAAAGTCCCCCACTGGGGGCTTTGAGGGACACGGCAACCTTACTTCGGGGTTCTGACACAAAATGGTGTGCACGGCCACAAGATGGGTGCCACAAAATGGCTGCCTGAACAGTACCTTCAGTCATATGTTTTTTTTAAATCTGCACAGCCTATCAAATCTCCAGTGACCAATCAAAAGCCTTGCTGGGCCAAACCCTACCCGGCCCTACCCACTCTCTAAAAACAGTTGACGGCCTCCAGAAACGGTTTCGGCAGACACCACGTTGGGGACCCATCCACCAAACTGGTTCTCAACGCTCCCGGAAGCTATTCCTTCAACACCCAAATTACTTATGGATGCCTTTTTTTTACAAACTGTGACTTGTTTCTCTGTTAGCTATTGATCTCCCTGTGTCCACATTTCCAGAATAACAGAATTGAAGTACACGCAGGAGTTTGCAGATTAACAGGTGTATGAGCTTCTAGCATTTCAGATACTCCAAAAAAGAAAAGAAAATCTTCCTAGATTATGTAATCTAGCACTCCTCCCAAATGGCCAGTTCAGAACACTGCATGCAATGCTCTTATGAATACACGTAAAAACATCAGAAGAGCCCTGCTGGATCAGACCAGTGGTCCATCTAGGCCAGCATCCTGCCTCACACTGTAGCCAACCAGTTCCTCTGGAGGGCCAACAACAGGGCAGAGAGGCCAAGGCCTTCATAAGAACATAAGCCCTGCTGGATGAGACCAGTGGTCCATCTAGGCCAGCATCCTGCTTCACACAGTGACCAACCAGTTCCTCTGGAGGGCCAACAACAGGGCAGAGAGGCCGAGGCCTTCATAAGAACATAAGAGCCCTGCTGGATCATACCAGTGGTCCATCTAGGCCAGCATCCTGCCTCACACAGTGGCCAACCAGTTCCTCTGGAGGGCCAACAACAGGGCAGAGAGGCCGAGGCCTTCATAAGAACATCAGAAGAGCCCTGCTGGATCAGACCAGTGGTCCATCTAGGCCAGCATCCTGTCTCATACAGAGGCCAATCAGTTCCTCTAGAGGGCCAACAACAGAGCAGAGAGGCCGAGGCCTTCATAAGAACATAAGAAGAGCCCTGCTGGATCAGACCAGTGGTCCATCTAAGCCAGCATCCTGCCTCACACAGTGGCCAGCCAGTTCCTCTGGAAGGCCAACAACAGGGCAGAGAGGCCAAAGCCTTCATAAGAACATAAGAAGAGCCCTGCTGGATCAGACCAGTGGTCCATCTAGGCCAGCATCCTGTCTCATACAGAGGCCAATCAGTTCCTCTAGAGGGCCAACAACAGAGCAGAGAGGCCGAGGCCTTCATAAGAACATAAGAAGAGCCCTGCTGGATCAGACCAGTGGTCCATCTAAGCCAGCATCCTGCCTCACACAGTGGCCAGCCAGTTCCTCTGGAAGGCCAACAACAGGGCAGAGAGGCCTTCCCCTGATGTTGCCTCCTGCCTCTGGGATTCAGAGGTTTACTGCCTTGGAACATGGAGGTTCCTCTCTGTCACCATGGCTAGTAGCCGCTGCCCAGTCCCCTTTTAAAGCTGTTTATTCCTGTGGCCAGGAATCTTCTGGCAGCAGCTTTCACATTTTAATCACCCTCTGTTTTGTCTGTCCTGGATCTATGGCCCATCAGCTTCAGTTGATGCCCTCGAGTTTTAGTACTTTCAGAGAGGGAGAAAGATTTCACTTTGTCAGCTCTCTTCTCTCCACCCCATGCATAATTTTATCAACCTCTACCATTCCCCCCCTCCCCCGGTAGTCCCTTTTCTAAACCAAAAAGTCCCAGACTCATGATGGGACCGTGCAGATATGTATAAAAGCGTGCCCCCCCCCAATGTGTCAGAATGAACCCTCTCGATCAGCAAGGATGCAAAGAACCATGAAACTAGTTCTGTGAACCCAGAGGGGGTTTAGTCTTGCTTTTCTTTTGAATGGCAGCCCTCCACGGCACGGTGCTGATTTATACTCGGGATCGTGTAGGTGGTGTTCAAAAGCAGTTTGAATAGCTGACTCCTTTGCCATATTTCAATAAAATGGAGGGGGGGAGAGATGCATTAGGGCACAGCAAGATGATCAAGTGTGTGGACCTCTTGAAAGCAGTTCTATTGATAGTATATTTATACCACTCAGTTTCTATATACATATACTGGTTTTAAGTTCAGATTAACAAATATAAGCCAGAAGTTTTGTGTCTAATGGTGTGGGATTTTTCTTTAAAAAGAAACGTTTTGACTTTGGCTCTTTCCGTTCCGTTCCGATTTACTCACCCAACATTTATCGGCAAAACAAATGCACAAAGTCAGTCCCATTATGATTGCTACCATTCCAAATGAAATCCCTAATTTTGCCGTTCTGAAACAGAGGAAGGGGAGGGGGAGGCAGAAACCAGAGATGACACAGTGTTAAGGAAAAAAAATGCTGTTCATGATCCAGTCGTCAGATTCCCGGGGGAGAACAGATAATCCCTTTCATGGCATGTTTCGTGCAGGTTTGGTATTTGATATTCTAAAGTTAATTCAGCATCGCTTTTTTTCAAAAATCGAACTGTTCTGTTCTCTGAAAAGTCTCTATTCAAAGCCCTGCATTAACCCACGAGTAGCAAGGGTGGCACTCACGATCTTGGGAGATAATACCATCCTGGGCCTTCTCAACGTTTAGGGCAGGGACAGCCAAAGGACAACCTGAAGTCCAAATCGGGCCCTTATATATTCCATGAAAAGACCGTTGCTCTTCATCTCCACTTGTGTCCAATGCTCCCTCTAAGCTGCGGAGTCTTGTGAGCAAAAATTCTACTTGGTGAGCTACCGGCATCAAAGTTGCGAGCGAGCGATTTGGCTACTGCATAAATTAGTTTGCTCTGGAGCCCCATCCTTCCTGAGCTGAGACAAGAATGTGTGAGCCGGAGGCTAATAAACTGTGAGCTAGCTCACACTGACTCAGCTTAGAGGGAACAAACCCCAACCTTTTTGAACCTGCGGGCACATTTGGAATTCTGACACAGCACAGGGGGCACAGCCACAAAATGGCGGCCACGGGAGGCGGTGCCAGAGACACAATGGCTGCTGCAGCTTATCTTCAGTCACACGGTGAAGATCCTCGTGCTCTGGTGGCCGCTGCCGCCAAAGCACCGTTTTTAAAAAAATCTGCGCAGCCAATCAAATCTCCGTTGGCCAACCAGAAGCTCTGCTGGACAAAAGCTCCATGCACCTTCTAAAAACACTTGGTGAGCACCAGGAAAGGAAAGACTCCCTGCACACAGAAAACTAGGAGGTCAGGGAGATTGCTTATACAGAGTCCTCAAGTTGGAACAGACTTTATAGGGCATCTACCCCCTTGCTCAGTGTGTGTGTGTGTGTGTGTGTGTGTGTGTGTAGAGAACAGCTTTTAAAAGAAAAACATTCTTACCTTGGCATTATGAATATCTGAACCAGAAACATACATAGCAACACAACGCTGGCACAGACGAAATAGCTCCTCAGTTTCGGAATGGGGATTGTGCGATACTGAAACGAAACGGTACAACCTGAGTCCAGGCGACACGGTTTTGTTCAGCTCATGACAACGAGCTTCTTGCCTTAACAAAAAAATCTTCAAGTATTCGAAGGGCTGTCAGCTTTCAGGTGAGGCCCAGGAAATCTCTCAAAGTTAAAACTGACCTCCCAACTACAGAGAACAGTTCTCCTGAAGAAAAGGGTTGATTTGGAGGATGGATTCTGTGGTATCATACCATGCCGAGGTCTCTGCCCTCCCCAGGTTCCATCCCCAAATCTCCAGGAATTTCCCAACCTGTTACTGTCGACTTTACATCCTAGGCAAAAGGAATCTTATGGCAAAGTGTGTCTGCCAACACCCACAACAGGTTTCAGTAGCTTGTTCCGGTTTGAGTGTCGGACTAGAGCTGGGGAGCCCCAGATTCCTATCTCCACTCAGCTGGACAGCCTTGAGTCGGACACACTTCTCTCGGCCCAGCCTACCTCACAGGGCTGTTGGAAGGATGAAATGGAGGAGAGGAGAACCACATGAGCCACCTCACAATTCCTTGCAGAAACAATAAGAAGAGGAGGAGGTGGAGGAGATTGGATTTATACCCCACCCTTCTCAGAGCGGCTTACGATCTCCTCCCCCCTCCCCACAACAGACACCCTGTGAGGTAGGTGGGGCTGAGAGAGCTCTCTCTCGAGAACTGCCCTTGAGAGAACAGCTCTGCGAGAACTTGTGACTGACCCAAGGTCACACCAGCAGCTGCATGTGGAGAAGAGGGGAGTCAAACCTGGCTCTCCCAGATTACAGTCCGCGCTCCTAACCACTTGGAGAGATTTGGATATCGTAAACTGCTTTGAAAACCGTTTTTGCTTTTATTAGATAAACAGAACGGACGCATCAGTGTTAGAAACACACAGAGGAATCCGGGAAACAGAGGGGCGGGCCTGGATCAACTGTTCTCAGCAACCCAATTTTTTTTACAATCAAATTGCAATTTTCTTGTTTTAAAACTTTTTATAGCCTTGTTTTTAAACTTTGTATAGCCTAGTAGGCCACCTTGGATGTCATTACCGACAGAAACATGGGGGCGCAGCTGCTTAAAATAAATACAAAATAATCAACAAGAGGAAAGAAAAAGAGTGTAAGCAAAGGGGGAAGATAGCGATAAACAGAAGCATAAAGGGTAAAAAAAACAGTCTCAGGGGACCTTGAAGATCAAGAGATGTATTGCGGCCTTAGCTTTCATGGCCAGGGCCCAGTCTGCCACTGGGCAAAAGTGTGCCTGTTAGGGTTGCCAACCTCCAGGTGCTGCCTGGAGCTCTCCTGCTATTATACCTGATCACCAGAGCCAAGTTCCCCCGCAGAAAATAGCTGTTTTGAAGGGTGGACACTGCAGCATTATATACCAACTAGGAGGAAAGCTCGTTGTAGGGACAATACAACGGGCGCTAGAAAGACACTCCCCCGTCCCGCGCTTTCTCCCCATTTCCCAGAGCCCAGGGTCGCCAGGCAGCGACTGGCTTCCTGGCTGGCTGCAGCCAGCAGCCTCCGGGTCTCTGCGACGGCTCTGCACCCCAGCAGCGCACCAGCCCCTGTCCACGTGCAGGCTGGGTGCCGGCATGGCTCGGTGGGCAAGTATGGCCGTGGCGGTGGCAGGACCGACCTCGGCCCAACGACCCCGTGGCCAGCAAAGGGGCTGGGGCACCCGTCATGTCGGAGGAAAGTGAGGCCTGGCCCCCTCTCTTTCCCCCCTCTGCAGATCCCAGGGCCCTGCTGTGTCCGGCAGTCTTCAGGCCACCTCCACGGCTCCTCGCCTGAGCGGCACACCAACCCCTGTCTGCTCACAGGCTGGCCGTCGACGTGCCTCGGGGCTCGGCGCTGCACGACGGCCACAGTGGCAGCAGGAGTGGCCTTGGCTCGATATCCCCGCTGAACAGGCTGGGCCGGCCATCGCCTCGGAGCACAGTGAGGCCCGGTCTCCTGCTCTCTCCCCCCCTTACCAGACCCTGGGGTCGAGGGAACGGCCTGCCACTGTCTCCCTGCCCGGCCGGGCCCAGTCGCAAGGCAGGCAGACCCCTGCAGTTGCCCCGGGGCAACAACTACCGCTGCGGCAGTGGCCGGAATGGGCTTAGTTTCCTAACCGTCCACCCACCAGAGCATCCATCGCGTCCAGTGGCTCCCTGCATACTGAAGGTGAGAGGCTGGCCTGCAGGTGTGTGGGCGGGACTGATCTGACACAGCAAGGCAAGTCAGCCAGTGGCCAGGGACCCGTTTGTCAGTGGCAGTTCATGGGGCCAACTGATTTTGGCATGCATAGAACACTGCCACCCCAAATGGCTTTTATATATAATATACCAATGAGGTCCCTCCCCTCCCCAAACCCCACCTTCTGCAGGCTCCACCCGCTAAATCTCCAGGTATTTCCCAAACCAAGCAAAAGGTAGGTATGAACAGGGAACTATTGCAAAGGAAGCTACTGCTCTAGAGCAGTAGGGGGGGAAATGTGGTATTTCGCAACTCGTTCTTCTCTTCTTAAAGCAGAGATAACCAAGGGTTCCTCATGTCTGTCTGTGGTGGTGCTCCGATTTTCAAAGGAAAAGAAGATGAACAGGGTCATTCAAGCTATGGGCGCCTGGGAGATACCAAACCACTCCTTTTGCTGCACTGACAAGACCTGAAAACTCAGAAGATCCTGCCTAGAATCAGGGAGTTCAACTCCATACCGCCTCCCAACCAATGTTCCCTCTAAGCTATGGAGTCTTGTGAGCTAGCTCACACTAACTCAGCTTAGAGGGAACACTGCTCCCAACCTCCTCTGCACCCTTCACAAGACTCCACAAAGAGGAAAGCTGCAATACTTCGTGCGGAGCTCCGACCCGTTAGGTATATCTTCCCTCTGCAAGCACAACTCTAGAGAGGGATGCCTTCTTGGCTTGCAGCCGGGTTGTTTTTACACACACCTGAGAAGTCTAGTCATCTCTTACCCACCTCTTTTTCAAGTCCCATCTCAACGAAAAACAGCAAAAATCCACACAGCCCACGAAAGTCGTCTGTGCTACCACACCAGGGCCTGCAAGTGAAAAAGAAAAGCACCGCTGAGAAACACAGGAAATTGAGGGGGGCAGGGGGAAATGCAGACATATGAAAACGCAAGGCGGAAGTTCGGACTCCTCACAGCTAGCAGGGCATCATGACTTAGGGAGACCACAAGCCCCCAGTTCAAATCTCGCTGCACCGTTAGCGTACTGGAGGTCCTCGGCACCCACCACTCTCTCTTTCCCTACCCTCAGTCCATACTTCCTGTTTGCAGGATAATAATTATGGTTGCCAACCTCCAGGTTAGGGTTGCCAGCTCTGGGTTGGAAAGGACCTGGAGACTTTGGGGATGGAGTCCGGGAGAGGGCGGGGTTTGGGGAGGGGAGGGGCCTCAGCATGGCCCAATGCCACAGAGTCCACCCTTCAAGCAGCCATTTTCTCCAGGGGAGCTGAGCTCTGTCAGCTGGAGACCAGTTGTAAAAGCGGGAGATCTCCAGGCCCCACCTGGAGGCTGGCAACCTTATTCCAGGTGACAGAGATCAGTTCCCCTGGAGAAAATGGCCTCTCTGGAAAATGGCCTCTCTTCTATTATATGCCACTGGAGTCCCTCCCGTCCCCAAACCCCACCCTTCTAGGCTCCACCCCAAAAATCTCCAGGTATTTCCCAATCCGGGTCTAGCAAGCCTAATACACTAGAAATCTGGTTGACTGTTAACGGAGCTACTGGACTCTTTTTGCAGACCAACACAGCTACCCACTGAAATGAAATTCACTCTAGCAACTGAAGCCGAAAATGCAGGCTATACCCACCTCCCACTTTTCCCTGATGCAGCCAAAAATTTAAGAATACTGTGCTGGGTCCTGACCTGGAAGGCCCAGGCAGCCCATTGCTTGTCAGATCTCAGAAGCTAAGCAGGGTTGGCCTCAGTTAGTACTTGGAAGGGCGATCACCAAGAAAGACCGGGACCAACATGCAGAGGCAGGCCATGGCAAACCACCTCTCACTGTCTCTTGCCTCGCAAACCCTCCAGGGCCTCCATAAGTCACCTGTGACTTGACGGAAATTTCCACACAGCTACCCTGGCAGTGTTCCTTCTAATTTTTTACACCCTACTAAGTGGAGGAGTTCATATCCTGAGCAGAATAGAATTGCTGTGATCTTAAAGTGAGCAATGGGCAGTGCAAGACCCTGTGTGGCTCCAGATTGCTGCTGAGCAGGGCTGCCTGTGTTAATGAGCAGCCGCTCATGTGCATAGCTTAGAGGGAACACCACTACCCTCTGAAACTACTCACATCAATGTGAACTCTATGAGCATTGTTCCTTACTAGGAGTGAGGCCCATTGTGGGAAGAAATACAACGAGCTCTAGAAGGAAGATCCAGGTGAGTGTCACGGCTGTGGCTGGTGGGGTGGCAGAGGGAAGGGGAAAATAGAGGGAGCCATGTTTATTTCCTTCTGCTTAGCTATAAGGCAGGGCTGTCTCAAGTCATTTTGCTGCCCCAAGTGGGTAGTATGGGAGGACAGCCTCATGGTAACAGGTATGGTTCCCTCCGCCCCTGACTTATGTTGATTTGGGGTTATGCAGTGGCAGCTAAGGCAGAAAAGCACCTCCTCCTGTGCCATGTCTTCTGGATTCCAAGGGTCTGGAAAGCGGCTCCATAGCGTTACAGGGTTGCCAACTCTGGGTTGGGAAATACTTGTAGATTTGAGGGGTAGAGCCTGGGGAGGGCAGGGTTTGGGGTGTGGAGGGACCTCAGCAGGGTATAATTCCATAGAGTCCATTGCCCAAAGCAGCCATTTTCTCCAGGAGAACTTATCTTGGAGATCTCCAGGTGCTGCCTGAAGGCAGGCAATACTAAGGGGAGGGTCAGACGTGTAGATTTGAGGGGTAGAGCCTGGGGAGGGCAGGGTTTGGGGTGCGGAGGGACCTCAGCAGGGTATAATTCCATAGAGTCCATTGCCCAAAGCAGCCATTTTCTCCAGAAGAACTGATCTTTGAGATCTCCAGGTGCTGCCTGGAGGCTGGCAATAATACGGGGAGGGCCACACCTGTAGATTTGAGGGGTACAGCCTGGGGAGGGCAGGGTTTGGGGTGTGGAGGGACTTCAGCAGGGTATAATGCCATAGAGTCCACTGCCCCAAGCAGCCATTGTAATAGCTGGGAAATTTTCTGTAGGGGAAATGATGTGCTGTGGCTGGGGAACACTGTGATTTCTGGGAGATCTCCAGGCCCCACAGGGAGACTGGCAACTCCAGAGACCGTTTCAGGGGATATTGGGATATGTATTTTGGCAACTCCAGTGACCGTTTAAGGGAAAATAGGGATATGTATTTTACCTCAGGACACATTCAATGACTCCCAACAGCAACAACAAACTGTTTAGAATGTTAGAGGCAAAGGCCAATAAGGCAACATATGCAAATGACCTCTGTGTTCCGACTGGCTATTGGGCGGAGAGGAACAGCAAACTGTTTAGAATATTGGAGAGGCGAGACTCAGTCTACACAGCCAGTGAATAGGGACAGCTTCTGAGTGACAGATCAGGGAGCTAACTGATTTGGGAGCGTGTGGAATGTTCAGGAGAGTCCACGACCAAAACAGAATTATTATATAGAGAGATACTGCTCATTAATAGATTTTTCAAAGCGTGCACAGAACTGTGGAGTTTTAATGATCATTTCTAAGCCGAAACTCCTATCTTCCACAAAATTATGAATGCATTTCAAAAAAGGTTGTTGACTTTAAATACCAGGGTCTCACGTGGATGCCCAGTTTTTCCAGCATCTGCAACTCTTACTGCAAGCTGAATTTAGTTAGCTGATTTCTGGAAGTGCCTACGAAGGCAAGCAAACTTAAGCCTAACATCCAACAGCCAGGCCGGAGAGACCGTTTCCCAGTTTCCCATTCTGTAACATTTCTGTTTCTAGGTTCTATTTTTCTTCTTCCGCAAAACTGCAGCCAACTGAAGATGCCCTTGCCGAATCACACGGCTGCTAAGCTACACTTTCGCAAAACGACAGTTCCAATTATTCCATCTCTTTCCAACGAAGTTTTCTTTTGTTGCACTGTTTCTAAAAGCTGACATCTCTGCAGAGGTGCAGGGTTTCCGCCCCAGAGCCTGTTCAGAAAACTTCTAGAAAATGTGAAGTGGGAGGAAGCGGAAAGAGAGAGGCATGTTCGCGGAGCACGGCATAAACCACAGCCCCCACAGTTTTGAGACGAAGGGGTGGGGTTTTCTAAGCAGGCTAGCACCTTCGTGTTCCACAAAATAAGAACTGAGAACTTCCCTTCCTCTTCCTCCCCCTTTTTCAGTAGTTGAGGCAATTCTCTTAAGAACAGGAAGAGGAGACAGCAATTACTTGGCTGAACTGAGTCCTTCAATGGTGGACAGCATTTTGTCATGAATATCTTCTTCCATCCTTCCCTTCTGAGAGGTATTTCTAAACACAGAAAAGGGGGGGGGGGAGACTGGTTATTTATCGGCAAGACAATTCAGGGCTTGCAACCATTACATTCACATTCCCCACCAAAAACCCTGCATTGTTACACTGCCAGAGAAATGTGAACAACAAAATAGGAAGGGTTATCTTCTCACTCAACAAATAAATAGTTGGGGGGGGGGGCGCAAGAAATTTTGGAAGAACTCTTCTATGGTAGACAGTTAGAAGAACACAGACAGCAGAATAAAGGAGAAAAAAAAGAGACACTCACTTATAGTTTACAACGGAAGGAGGACACACACGTTCTGTCCTACAGCCATCCAGACTAGAGAGAGAGAGAGGCGTTGGATGTGACACAGCGGCTCTGTTTGCATTCATTAGTAGCAATCAAATTAATCATACAAGACAAGACTGTCGTTATGAACAGTCATTCTTCAGAGGGTTGTCAAACAAACAAAAACAACAAAGTTGAATTCTGGGTATAAGCTTTTGTGTGCATGCACACTTCTTCGGATGCATTGAAACAGAGCTCTTCAGGCCTGACGTATAGGTAGAGAGCCTCTCTTTACCTATATGTAAGGCTTGAGGAAGTCTGTTTCGATGTATCCGAAGAAGTCTGCAGGCATGCACACGAAAGCTTATGCTCAGAATTAAACGTCGTTGGTCTTAGACTCAGACTTTGTTCTAAAACTATGTGTCTCTTTAAAAAAAACCAAAACTTTGTGCCCCTTCTGGAGAGAAAAGTCCAAGAGGCTGAATTAATCGTTAGATTCGAATCCAGTAGCAGCTTAGAGACCAAGAAGAAGAAGAAGAAGAAGAGAAGAGATTGGATTTATACCCTGCCCTTCACTTGGAGTCTCAGAGCGGCTTACAAACTCCTTTCCCTTCCCCTCCCCACAACGGACAGTCTGTGAGGTAGGTGGGGCTGAGAGAGGTTGGACAGAAACTGCACTTTCAAGGAAAGCTCTGACAGAACTATGGCTTGCCCAAGGTCATCCAGCAGCTGCAAGTGGAGGAGTGGGGAATCAACCCCGGTTCTCCCAGATTAGAGCCTAACCGTTATACCAAACTGGGTTCCGAGGCGTAAGATTTCAAGAGTCAAAGCACCCTTCATAAAATACCTTTGAGAGCTCCGACTCTCAAGACCTTGTGCCCAGAAAACCTTGTTGGTCTCTAAGCTGCTACTGCACTCGAATTTAACTGTTCTACCACAGACCAACACAGCAAACCTCGGAAACTGAATCAATCGTGTGAGAGTTTTATTAAACTGCAACTCTTCTCCTTCCACCTGCACACCAGAAACACATTTTTAGAAAATTAACTAGCACGGGGAGAGAGTTGGCACCGTGCATCGATGGAACAGGGGGATTGCTATGTTCGGCACTCAGAGCAACTTTGGCACCCAAATCCAGGAACATCTGGCAGGGTGAGACAAGAAGCAGATGTGTTTCTCTCTCGGGTCTCCTCCGCTGTCATTTTGACAGGGTTCAAGCTTCCCCCAAATGGTGTTCCTGTGGGTCAATGGACAACTCCCTCCCCTCCCCGGAACAATATGGAGGCAAATCTGCAGCCAGAAGAGGGAATGAGCAAAAATCACCCTCTTGAGACTGAAAAGTCTTTCTGTCGGAAGAGATGCTCCTCTGCTGACTGAACAGCACCCTCGGATCCAAGCCCAGCTCCCTCTCCACAGCCAGATCTGTCCCTCCTCAAAGGACAGTTGCAAGTTAAGACAGGACAGATGTGGACAAAGAAGTCCTTCTAGTCTTGAACTCCACTTGTGACACGGTCATCCAGGGGCTGATCGAAGACTTACGCACCCACGCCCCACTGGTCTACCTTTCCTTCCTGTATTTATTTATATTGTGCTTTTCTTCCCACAAGGGATCATGGTGGCTTAGAGGTTAAGACACTGAGCTGCAGACTGGAAGGTCTATAGTTCGGCAGTTCAAGACCCGCGTGATGGAGTGAGCTCCCGCCTCTGGCCCCAGCGCCTGCCAACCTAGCAGTTCGAAAGCAAGAAATTGCAAGTAGATAAATAGGACCTGCTTCGGTGGGAAGGTGACAGCATTACGTATGCTTCGGCATTTAGTTAGGCCGGCCACATGACCATGGAAACGTCTTCGGACAGCGCTGGCTCTTCAGCTTGGAAATGGAGATGAGCACCGCCCCCTAGAGTCGGATTCAACCTGCTTTCAAGCAAGGGAAACCTTTACCTTTCTCCCCACGGCTGGGACTCAAAGTGGCTTCGAACACTGTTCTCCCCTCTTCCATTTTCTCACAGCAACCCTGTGAGGTAGGCCAGTCTGAGAGTCTGTGACGGGCCCAAGGTTACCCAGCAAGTTTCCCTAGTAAGAGAGGGGACTCGAACCTGGGTCACCCAGGGTCCTAGTCTGCCCCTTAGTCCACTACATCACATTGGCTCTCTGTCTGCAATACATACTGTCTTTGGACCTGGCAGTTCCCTCTAGTTATCCTGGTTAACACACATGAGTGATCCTATGCTGCGTGGATTTGCAGAATCCCTTTCTGAAAAGCCTCTTTGGGGTCGGTCAATATTACACGCACCAGAACTCTGAAAGTTGCTTCTGTTTGGAGAAAAGCATCTTCAGGAAAGAATGAATGTCAACAGAGAAATAGTAAAGGTGACTATATGTGTTTTAATCCTTTCCCCTTCTACCACTTTAGCATAGGTGGGATGAGGATGTTGGAGTTTTGGTACTTAGCTACTAAAGGACACAAACTGGAAATCAAAGAGCGCAGGGGGGAAAGAGAGGAATTATCAAGCGCCAACGCAAAACAGATGGAGCGAATGCACAGTTATAAACGGAGGAGGTTCAGCGTGCACAGTGTCGCTGATAAGGATGTTTGAAGGAAGCAACTGTTATGAAGCAAAGTTACGCCTTGGCCTTCCGATAGGACCCTGCTGATTCGTGTGATCTGCAAATAATGTCTACAACTTGAACACCATCTCGCTGAACACCCGTAATCAATTGTAGGGGATGGCTACTAAATCACAGGCCTGCCATCAGCTGACTGCTTGTTTTCACAAGATGCATGCACATTTTGCAAGCACGAATCAAGAAGCAGCGCTCTATCCCAAGCCAAGAAGGAAGCCACATCTAAGATGGCAACCACCGTATGCTGGTTTCACATGAACATTTGCTGGTTTTGAAACTCAACAACACAATGTCATGAATAAACAACACAATGTCATGAATAAACAACACAATGTCATGAATAGCCCTAGGTTGTTTTTTTTTATTTTAGTATTTTAGTATTTATGCGTTTTAGTTTTTACGTATTTTAGTATTTATGACTTGTGTTCCTCAAAAGTTATTGGAAATCCCTCCTGAAAACTAGGCAGAGATACTTTTCAGGTCTCACACTCCAACAAGTCCGGGGACAGCTAAACAATTCCAGATGTCAAAATGCGACGGGAAATGAAGAGAATAATCATAACGGTGCGCAACTTGCCTCTCTGAAGCTCTCTGTCGGTTTGCCAGATGCAGCGTTATCTCCTAGGGGAGAGAGAAGAAGAATCGTTTCCCCTTTCGACATGTAAATTCCACCTGGAAAGCTCCCGGATTACTCTTCACACTGGACGGTTCCTCGTTATAGGCGTACCTTTGTGCTGGCATGCCTTAATGCTCTACCATGGCCCCGGTCACACGCCCAAGTTGCCACGGGAGAGGCACGGATGGTGGGCGGATTATCCGGGCGCGATCACACCCCAACATCTGGGAAGTGGAGCGCACCGGTGGCTTACCGCCGACAATGTGCCTTTAAAAACTAGTACCTCCAAGGTACTAGTAAACGTTTGCCACGGGCTGCCTCCAGACGCCCGTGGTGTGATCGCGCCAGCGCACAGCATTCCCCTCCGGTCCCTCGTTTACCCGCCGGCGCTGAGGGAAGGACCCGTGGTGTGCTGCCGGCGCGTCTGATTGCGTAATTGCACATCAAACTGTGCCGGGGCAATTAGCCACGCCCCCCCCCCCGGCGATATCTGGCCTGTGTGACCGGGGCCCATGTAGAGTTTTGCAAGGGAGGTATCTTGCAGATACCATACTCTGACACTTTCCAACAAGATTTTGCCAGTTCACACAGTAAAATGCAGTTGGCAAAGTACATTGAAAGTGGACTGAAAGTGGATTTAGTGTGTGAGGTCACAGCAGGAA